TAAAGTTTTCGCGCATTTTTTGTTTGTTTACAAATATAGTAGTCATAAATAAAAACGATTTGGCGTAATTTTTTTTTTGTTTTATTTTTATTTATTTTGTTTGTTTTATGGTGCAAGGATAATTACTTTATTTAAACAGGATGTAACAGTTCGACCAATCACGATCAGCTCAAGCTGCGAGCGGGCGGACAACGGGACACCTAGTGTAACATGTGGCTAGTATGTGAAAGTCCTTCGCTTCGCTCCAGACTAATAATAATAATACCTTTGTCAAAGCTGCAAAAAAACCTTTTAGAGTGCTTTTTTAATAAGAGAAACTTTGTCATCTTCAGAAATTGATAATGAGGAAGATTCAATTTCCATTGTACATTTGCGTACAATTGGCAACATAAAGAGTCGGGACAACTATTATGAGTTCACATCTAATATCATCCTCGATATATTGACAAGCAGTTATTATCCTTTCTATAGAAAAGCTTTAGCAAGAATCCCGGTTATTAACTCACCTCGAGACTTCTTGAAGGAAGCTTTAGACCTTTTAATGTAATTTCGTTATGAAGTAATTTTTGATTCCTTAGCTGCAAATCAACACACTTTTTCTGAATCAGTTATTCAAGGAGAACTTTATATACTTTACTACGTATGGCTGCGTCGTATCCAACGTATAAGGTTTTTCGTGAAACCAGAACTTTGAAGAAATCTGAAAAAAAATGCGACATCTGGGTGTGTAATAATTATGAGTATGGAATCGAATGTAAAGTCAACAAAGTTTTTGACAATGACATTATGAGTGCAGCTAATCAGGCTATTGGATACATAGAAGGACGACAAAAAGTTTGCTGTATGCTCGTCTTCAACTTTGTGTCATTTGACAGTAAGCATCATGAATATCAATTCACTTTTCCAAATGTTGTCAAGCCAAGAGACGAAATCTTCTTTGAAATGGTTCATATATTATATTCTCAAGCAACTCGAAGTGCAAAAGTCCTTCGCAATTGTATGGTCGAGGAAATTTCTTTTGCAAGTAATTAAACAACATACCCACAATGCTAGTTTGGTACAAGGAAAGTATAATAACTATCATTGTATTCTAAATAAATCCTATATGTAAACGCAAGTTACAATTTATGCTTTAAAGTACAAAATAATGTAACACGAAAAATATTTCGCTATAGATTTGTTCGCTCATTTTATTTTTCCGATGCACAATCAATGACTAAAAAATTCAAGTAAAATTTTATTAAAATAATTTTTCAGATACGTTAACGAAAATGCGGGAGTACGCGGATCCTAGGACACTTAATGCGTGTCCCTGGGTCATATTACTTTGCTCCTATATTTCTACAGCTTTATCGCTAATATTGCTAAGTACGAAATTCTTACACCACCTATAAAAATAAATTTAGGTTATGAAAAAAAAACCATCACAATCGGTGTTGTGAAAAAAAATTTATTACGGTTATATAGCCATATAAAAATAATACAAAAAGTTCAGAACTATACACATAAAACAAATGGATAATCGAAACTTTTTATCAAGATTAATCGATGACTTACCCTTTTTTCCCTTGATTGCTCTTCACTTTAAAAGGACCTTTTCCACCTTGCCTTGTCTTTCATATTCTCATTCTCATATGTAACAATAAGAGGTTTCGCGATTTTTACTTGATTTTTAAAGGAAAAGTTGCAGAGATAGGATAGAGCTCCCCGACCTGAAAATTCCAGATTGATGTACCAGACAAAATTCGGGTCGATCAATTAAATTTAATATTAGAAAGCATTTATTCTACTATTTAATTGTTGAACTCAATATCAAAACCTTAAAAATTCACTACAAAAACTTTAAAAAAAAAAAAATTTTTTTTTTTTTATTTATCGATTTCCATGTAATCAATTCTCTCTTCATCTTTTTCATTACCTAAACATCCAATGACCCATTTCTTTGCTTCAATAGTAACATTACAACATAAAGCTCTCCCTATAATTTTTTCCATAAGGTTGTCATCAAATTCATCATCACAACAAATAATCATCTCAAACAACATTCTAATTATTTCCTGATATATTTCAGTTACATTATAATTCATTGTGTAAAGCACATCTAAATTATCGGTTAAAGAAGGATGGTAATTATACTGTATTTCTATTGGATGTGATATATTATTATTCATGACAGCTAAAGTCTTTAATTGAATTTCACATTTTTCAAGAAAGGGTATAATAATTGAGGCATGGTATGGTGATAAAACATTTTTTGAAGCAAAAGAAATTAATGTTAAGTAATGAAATACTCTAAGGATTGAATTTAAATAATTGAGTGCCCAAGGTAATGTTTCCTTTTTAACAAGGTTAATATCCTCTATTTTGAATATCATTGAAATTGAATAATAAATAAAAATGAAAATAACAAAAAAAAATAAAAAATAAATAATATATACTTACCTAATGATTTTAATAATCCAGTTAAAATACAAATAGATTGTTTAATTAAAACACCATTTGACCATTGTAAAGTAGAATTTTTACATCCTTGTAAAACTCTTAGCAAAATTCTAGGTCCAAATAATGATTGTTCAAATAATGATCGTGATGCTGATGAGAATGGAATTTGTTGTGAAATGCATAAATGATGCAACCACGTTAACAATCCTCTATTTTTTATCATATCTGTGATAACTTTCGGTATCGAGGCTGCCTGGAATAAGATCTAACGTAAAAAAAGAGAGAAATTTGTTAAGAAAACATACAATTTATACGTGATATACTAAAAATAATAGATTTCATAGGTACCTCAATAACAAGCTTGCGTGTTATATTGTCTGCTAATGGAGAATTATAATAGCAAGATATTATATCCCAAACATATCTTCTTTTAAATATCTTATAATCCTGCAAATAAAGTTAGAATTATCAAAAAAAAAAAAAAAATAAAATAAAATAAAAAAGAGACCAAAATATTTAAATTTACATCATGAGTTTTTAGTCCAGCAGATAAAAGCCTTAAAATCCAAACTCTTTCTTTTTGAAAATTCTCAGTAGAAGAATGAAATAAATTATAAAACATTGGTATGTCTTCTAAATCCAAAAATGGTCTTTGTAATAAAAATTTATTAATAATAGGATACATAAAGTGTCCAGGGTTTATGAATATACTTAGTGAATGTGCTATGAATATAGATATTATCGTTGGAATTCTTTGTATAACATCATCATCGTCATTATCACGATTCGTTATTGAATTCTTTAATGAATTTAAAAGTAAGAGTATTTGACTCTTTTCTCGAATATTTATATGCTATTAAAAAAAAAAAAAAAAAAAATGTGTGCTTGGAAGGTAATTTTAAAAGCAAGATTTCACGTTTTTTTTTTAAATACCTCTAATAAAACGTAAAATTCATCCAATAGATAATATGCAGCTTTTCGTACATTAGCAATCAGAGATGATGTGGCGACAACAATATAGCCCAAAGCATTAATTTCAATGAATTTTCTACAATCCAATAAATTACCATATGATAATAGATTTGCAAATAATGGTAAAAAGTAAGATGGATCATAAACAGGTGCTTCTCTCTCAAAAATTATATCATTGTTTTTATCAAATAATAAAAACTCTTTAAAGTTATTATAATTAATTTCCAATTCCTTATCGATTGGAAAACGTGTAAAGCTTCTCATCATAATCATTGGATCAATTAATTCCAATGTTTCAACTAAAATTCGTTGTCCCATAATCAAGCCTCTCTTATCTACTTGTTGTTTGTATGATGATGAACTCGTTCCCCATTTCATTGCAGAGGATACGATTGAAGATTTTGTAGTTTTTTCATATAAGATGAAAATATCTAATAATAATTGATCCGAGATTGACGTTGTTGCGTTGTAAATCGATAAAAGTGAACTCAAATATGATGATTTGCAACATTCTTTAGAGTTCATACGATATAAAGTGTTGAGCAAATGACATATTGTTAGTCTCCTTATAAATGTTGAAGAATCAATTGATTTATACGACAGTTCTGAAGGATTGGCCAAAATTTTAAATTGAGAGTTATTTATTATAGCTTCGATAACCCTATCCAATGAAGGGCCAAAAACCTCCTATAAGATTTAGGAAATTTTTATTAAAATTAACTATATTATCAATTTTGTTATTTTATTAACATACCTTTTTGTCGTAAGCATATGTGATTAATGTAATGATACAGTTTAATATTATTGGATCTTCAAATTTCTTTTCCATAAGCACAAAAATAAATTCACCAATAATATTTGCATCCAGATTCGAACATCGCGGTACAACTAATTTTATTAGCACATCTAATTTTAAAAAAATCTATATTAAATAAATATATATATAAAAACTCAAGATTTAATACATCAAATATTACTCACCAACTTTGCTAAAAACATTTTGTATAACCTTGATACTATATTTCTTATATTCATCTTTTTCGATAAATAACGTTGCATAATGTAAAAAATTCGAAATAAACTTCTTTAATTCATCATTATAATAATTGAAATTATCCAAAAGGTAACATTCAATTATATAAAGAAAATCCAAATTAAATGAATCTGAAGGTGAATTATTTTTGATATCATTATCTAACGTATCAAGAACTTGCTGTGAAGGACTTAAATTCAATAATGCACAAGTAACTAAAGCATAAACCGACGGCTTTTCTTGTGCCATTGATTTTGAGATACTATGAAAGAATTTCAAAGCAAACAAATCAGATATTTTCTTAATAGATTTCTTATCACTCTCTCTAGCAAATTTTGTCCAAGTCACTCGAGAATATTTAAAATCCATATGAATTGTAGAAATAATCTCTAACAATGAATTCACCAGAATTATCATATCCGGAATAGCAATTCTTTCTGATAAATTCTGATGATTTAAGATCCAATTAACAAATAACTTTCTAACTTCCGAGTTACATAACATGAAATATCCAATGATTTTAGCACGATTGTTATTTAAATTATCCAGAAAATATCGAGCTACTTCCACACATTTATTTGGTAAAGGATGAAAGTTTTGTCGTTCTGAGAAATATAACAAAGAATTGTTTTCTTTAGTTATTCCAGGGGGCAAATATTTCTCAATAATTTGTAAAATTATGGAATCCATCTCAATTTCATGGCATGAGAAAAATTCCATCAAAATTTCTTCACTAGTTTTTGTGATCAATAAAGCATGGGATAATTTGTTAATCAAATATGAAAGTAATTTTTTATAATGACCAATGAGATTAACATAATCATGTAATAAAGGATTGTAGAACTTAGATTCTAAAAGGCTCGAAAAAAGTTGAAATATTTCCGCTTCATTCCAAAAATTGTCAAACTTGTAACAAAGTATACACATCTATAAAAAATTAGCATACTAATTGTTAAAAATACAAAAGATTAAAATTACTAAGGATAATGAAGTTAGAATAGTCACAAAAGTCATTGATTACCTTATTGTATAATAACATGTTACCATCTCTATGCAAATTTTCTGAATTTGTCATACATAAGAGTCGATTAAATAACTTACTCTTGAATGGTAAAAGACGACGTAAAGCATCTACCCTACGTGTCTTCCATATTATATTCTCATTATCATTATTTGTAAAATAAATAACAAGTTCTGCAATAACTAAAATAAAAAAAATACGAATATCAATACATTGATTACATCTAAATATTATTTTTAACCAAATATAATGCTTACATTCGTCCAAAACAGAGTAATATTTTATAAAGTCTGAATCAAAATTTTGATCTTCAAGTACACTTATCAAGAAGAGAGTCGATAAATCTTCCAATCCTAATATCAAATTTATTATATCATCAAAAATCTTTGATGTGCCATCATCGTCTTCCGGTTCTTCAGTAACTCTTTCAATAATAATCTTTAAAAGATTGAAGCATGTTTGCAATCCTTGTATCAAATTATAGCAAGGAACAGATAAAAATGTCTTTGTAGCAAACAAAATCTGCCTCGTTGTGTGCAAAATATTCTGCAGAGGTATGGACCGTAAAGATTTATTTAGAAGAAACCCAATGTTTTTATCCATCAAATGGGAAGGAAATGAATTGTCAAAGAAAATAGAGAAAGGTGTCAAATCTAAAAACTCAATGAGTAAACTTATTTCACTAAAGATATCGAAATCAATAAATGTTAGGAGCCCATCTTTCTTATTAAAGTACAGAGCAGAAAATTATTTCTGTGGTTTACCTTTCTTCAACAGCGTTATGAGTCAAAGCACTATCCTTCTTTCCAAAAAAAGGTAACAAATAAGCATTAACAGCTTCTTTAATAACTCGAACATTGAACAAACTACCCGAACTTGGATATCGTTCATAAATATATTCCAAGATAGGTTCAAACTTTGCCCATCCTAAAACGTTTTTAATGTAACATAAAATCTCGGGTAAATTTCTTTCAAGAATTGGTACAGGTAACACATAAAGCATATCGAGAAATTCAGATCTTGCTTTGTATCTATCAGGATTTTTGTCTAATAAAAGAAATAAGTTGAGTTCGAATACTAAATTTAAAATAAAGTATCTCAATAATTCACATATCCTTTACCTTTCAAATTCTCTAAACAAACTTTCTCGGCTTTCATTAGATTTTGATTAAGATCTTCTTGTACCACCCCATTAATTATAACCGGGATGTCTATCATTGTATCAACACTAAGAGAACTTTCGGATGGATATTTATACAGACTTGAAATACGCTCCAAGCTTGAAAAGAATTCATTGACTTCCCAATTTCCTATATATTCAAGAAATTTGTTATTTTTAAATCTAAGATTTCTTTCCAATCGTTCAACATATTCATCTAGATAATATGTGAATAATTGTTTGGTATATAGTTTTTTGAATAATATATGTAAGAATGATGTGATGGCGACTTTATTCTCCGTAACACTCTCATAGCTTTTTACAAGTGTTACTAATAGTGGACTAAATGGATAAGAAGCATTTGAATATTTTGGACCATCTCGAGAAATCAAGAATTGCTGCACAAAAGCGTTCTCCTTCGTTATTCTAATATCCTCAAAATCTTCCATCTTTTCATTTATAACATTGATGACTTGACTTAAATCATCAATATATGGGCGAGGATTTTTAAGAAATGATACAAAACAATTGTCAAAAAATTTCAAAACAGTTGCTTGACCATTGAATTTTTCAAAGTTTGCATTTTCCGGAAAAATTCGAGGCAAAGAGTCCAGCCAAATCGAAACTTCATCTGGATCATGTTGGAAAGTTATAGAATTGGAGAGTAACCGCTCAAGTACACGTTGTGTAATGGAACGTATTTGTAAATATGGTGTGGTCAAAAACAATTTTAAAAGTTTTTGAAGATGATTGAATTCTAAAAGTGATATTGGCTTATTAGTTTCTCCCTTTTAAAAAAAAAGAATTATAATTTTGTAAAATTCACCTGAATTTATTGACCAATTAGATTCAGCAATCAACAACAATAATTCCATCATGTTTAATTGAAGTCCTACTTGTGATTCCTGAAAATCCATTGGAATCAAATTGTCGACGTCCAACTTTATTTCCATCATCATTTCAGGAAAAAAAAGATAATAAAACTTGATTGATTTTAAAATGCCTTCATGCATCAGATTATTCCTGATAAACTCATCATTATCTTCATTGCTCATCATATTAGATGAAAATCCCTTCTCCTTTTCCAAAATTTCGTAATAAAAGTTAAGAAGAATTTGAATATCAGGTATTCTATGCTTCATTTCTTCATATAATGAATCAATTGTCTGACTCCATATCGATGACGTCGCTTCTTTCTTGCTCAGTCCTCTCTGAATAATTTGAGCCTCACTAACTAAATTGTCTAAATAACTGATTGCCTTTTTAACCGAATGCACAACTGTGTTCAATTTTTGGAATGCCAAACACAAAACAATCATGGTCTTATATCTAATTAGTGAACTGGAATAGTTAAGACATTTAATCAAAGTATCTTGATCAAATATTCTTGGAAGTATATTGTCCAAGGTAACATTTAACTCTGGAGGATTTTCTGGGTAAATCTGAGTTCCGGGGATATAAAATGAAGGAACGGGAAGTGCTATTATCTTGTGAAGCAAAGTCACATTTGCCAACCACTTATATGAAAGTTTAGGTTCAAAAGAAATATTCGAAGTTTTCCAATATCTACGAAATAAATCGATCGAATTAAAGTATATTACATAATATAATGAATCAAATAGGATTGACTTACGGTTTAACCAATTCTGGGCAAGATTCCAAAATTTTCAACAAGAGTTCTTGTTGACGTAAATCTTGTGTCGGTTTTAATGATTTAATGAATTGCAATAATATTATGTTATGTACTTTCGTTTGCTTCTCATTTTCATGTTGATCTGTGTCACTTAAGGATATATTCATATAATTAAATGGATACCATCCTGCATCACGAAAGCAAATACCTACACCGGGTGTACAACAAATTGATAACAAAAATCGATGAACAATATTCGCTACAATTTTGTCAGGTTCGTGTTGTTCCGATTCACGTCTATTATAAAGATGTAAGAGCTACGGATTATAAGCATTTAATGAAAGTTTTAGAATTCTATAAACAAATAACTTTCAATAGCTTTACTTGATTCAAAAGCCAAGTGTTGTTGAAAAATGATAATATTGTCTTTCGGTTGATATCATTGTCAAGGATTATATGGTCGTAAACTTTTCTCAGCACTTCATCAACAAACTAATTAATCAAAGTAAGAATTAATTACTAAAAATATAAAGAGCTTCAAGTGTAAATTACTTACTTCATATGAGTCGTGCAATAATCCTTTAAATATCAAGCTTGCAAAATCTTTAATCTCCAGTACATTTGACTTGATTTTTGCATTTCCATGTACAAAGAATGATAAAATGAATCGAACATATAAAGTTCGAATGTCTAAAAGAAAGCAAATGAAAATTTTGAGTTTTACGTTAAATCAATTTATGTTAAGTTGATATTAAACTAACCATTTTGTGAGTGATTATTTTTCGAATTATCTTTTGATGTATTTCTTCGGATATTCAATAATCTTCCTAGTTCCTAAATAAATCCATCAATATAGCAAATCTAATTAAAAATGATAAATAATAAAATCAAAACATACCTTGAGATTAAGATTATAAGTAAATGATTCTAACAACTCTTTTGAGATTGAAGGATCATGGGAATTCATTATAATTAATAACTTTAAAGTATTCTGACATAGAGGTAATTTTTCAGAAGATAAATTATTCCTAATAACTCTCATGTAATTTCGTATGACATTACGAATGATAATTGTTCCAGTAGATTTTAAAGAAGGAGTGATTGTTGTAAATTTTATAATTTTTGAAAATAAGTCAGGAATTGATAGTTCTAGTCGTGTTAAATTATCCTTGAGAAAAGTAAATATAAATAAGTATCAATTTCTTTATAAAATAATTTCACAATAAACTTACATGCAACTGCGTATCCCATATTATAAACAATTCTTTACATTCAGGCGAAGTTTGTAAATATTCATAAGCTATTGATACATTTTGATCGTTGATTGAATCGATTTCTTTGATATTTTGATCTTTTGGGTAAATGAAGTGTTGTCTAAATCTATTAATTCCTAAAAGTACAAAAATTTGAGTTCAATGATTAAAATAAGTGAAATTCAACAGAAATGTATAATACCTTGGTATAAAATTTCGTAATTATTAGAATTCAAGAATTCTTGTAATTCCTCGAGAGATTTAAAAACTTCCCAATTAGCCATAGTCATAGTGAAGTGTAAAGAAAAATTTTTTTTTTTTGATAATCTGAACGATTAAATAAATTATTTGATCAACGCTTAATCGTGATTGGTTGGCTGGATCTTTTACCTTTTTCTCAGATATATTTAAAATTTATCTTACCTGTTTATATTTGCGGTAAAAAAGGTGCATTTTGGGCTTTGAGAGATTAGTTTGCACACGCCGAATATTCGCGCTCTTATTAACAGAGTATTAAAGTCTTATTAAAAACATAGGTTTTGCCATTTGCATCAACAATTCTGACAGAAATTTACAATTTTTAAGCGAGAAACGTTCGGAGACTCTGAACCCGAGTTTGGTGTATGAGGAATTACACTACACTTCAGTGAAGATTTCTCACCTTCGGAACTCCTGGAAATAAGTTTTTTTTTTCTTAAGGGTCTACTGAATCTCGAAGTGGAATTGATTATAAAAAAGTTTGAAAATAACCTCTCTAAATGTATCAAGTATTATATTTAAAAATGATGTTCCACTGTCAGATAAAAGTTCTCATGTCTACAAATAATTTCTTTGAAGATAAATTTAGCAACAGCGACTTGATATCATAATCTAGGAAATGACATGAGCCACATTTACCGATTTTCTGCCGTATTCATGTTTATGTTCTCATTATTGATAATGATTGATACATTGTAAATTTAATAAGGACATGAAAAATTTGAATTTCAGGAAAGAGTCTTTTAATACTCAAAGATTTCTCAAAAATGGTCATGAAAAGATTTATGTATCGCTACAGACTGCAAATGCTCCAAGGAAATGAGTTTGCAACTCCACTTATTATCCAGATTTGTGGATTAATCTCCGGTTAAAAGGAGAAAACCGCTTACTTTCGAACGATATGAAATTTCGGAATTAAATTAACAAATTTCGAAAAAAAAAAAACGCGAGTCGAGATTTGTTGATTATGTATAACATAATATTCGAAATCTTTTACTAACAATCTGATCAGTTTATTCAGTGATTGATGGGAAAATTCACAAGCAATATCACATGAAATATTAATATATGAGATTCAACAAATTGAAATAAATTTATTCATAATTAAGTTTTAGTCATTATTATCATGATAATCATCTTCCTGAGCTTTCGTTATAGCGGATTCATCCGTGGGTATAGCGGAATAATCGCCTTCCGGGTCAATTTCTTCTTGGACAGGTTCAACTTTCTTTGGATATTCACCTTCATAACCTTTCAAGGTTATTTTTCGATTCTGTGAATAAATTCTTATTCCGAGTGATAATTCCCATTCACATTTTTCGTGTTCTTCTTCCTCGTCATCAGAATTGTCATTTACATCTTGTCCAATTGCTAATTTTTTCACTCTTCTTTCCTTTCTCTTTTTTGAAGCATTATTCATTTTAATTAAACGAGGGTCCAACGCTTTCGCTCCTTCACCTTCACCACCTTCACCACCTTCATCACCTTCCTTATCTCCATCTCCTTCATTATCATCATTCACGTTTGCAAAGTAATTTTCAACTCGTGTGATATGTGGAATTATCTCATATGTTCCAGCAGGAAGGTTAATTTCTTGATTGATGCTACGTGATGCATAAGGATTCCCAATTTGACTACGTGATAAATAACTTTCGCTTCCTTGCTCATAAACTCTGAAGCTCAATAGATATCTGAATATGATAAAATATTTTAGCAAAGTTTTATCGGACGAATAATAATTTATTTAACATACATACTTATATTTTTGATCTTCTGTGAAATAACGATTATCGGGCTGTTGTAATACAATGACCAACTCCGATTCTTGAGGGATGGTCAAGATGAATTTTCCATCAGATTTAGGTAATACATTATATTTGATCCAGGTTGTGTAAACGGTCCAAGAACTATCAAAAAGTCGAACCTTGTCAATACAATTCCAATGATTTAAAAAGTCTTCATAAGACATCCAGAAAGCTCCATCATCACCAAATTGATGATTAAGAAGCGTCATACGTTCTGGTGACCATTCTTTACTACCATCACTCCAAGGACCTAAAAAAAAGGTTTTAAAAAAATATATCGCAAAATAATTGATTATAATTAATTAATTTTAAGATAATTACCGTTCCATTCACCAGTTCCATGAGGGTTACGAATTTCTACGAGTTTAGTTCCATTTTCAATTTCAATGGTACGAATAACGCTATATGCGTGATTACAATACAGGCCCTTGATCGATACAACTTCTTCTTCAGAGGGATCAAATGTGATATGGCTGACAGCGAAAAGAACTTTCTTGTTCACATGAACTAACTCTTCTCGCCAAAATTTTTCAGTATCAAGAATATCGTCAGTTCGTACAAATGTATAAACTCCTCCAGTCAAATCTTCAATGGCTATTAAATGTTTTAAAGAAATTAATATGGAAAATAAATTATTGTAAAGTACTGTATGATACTTGCCTTCACCTGTCCATCCGCCTTCAATACTTTCATAATCCCCATGTATTTTGGCGTAAGCCTTTTCAATTAATGGTAACCAGGTTTCGTTTTCACTTGAACATTTACTATATTAAATAAATAAATTAATAAATGCCATGTAAATATCAAAAAAAAAACAAGATGTTAAATTTAAAATTTACATACGAATAAGTAAGATCAAATTTCCCATTTTCATCTTTACCATAAGTACAAAGTTGGTCATCGACAACGGTTGAGATCCAATCTCCATCCTTGTATTAAATAAAGAGATTATAAATTTTAGAATAAAAATTTATTTCTTTCAAATAAACACTTTAATAAAATTATTAAAACAATTACCTTGAAGAAAATAAATCCATAAATACCAACTTCTTCATCACGTGCTACACAAATAGTTTCCAATAATCCAGGGATATTCGTGACAACACCTAAAGCAGCCACAAACCAACAATCACCAACAAAACCTTGTTTAATGTCATTAGGTTCGACACCATTGACGAAGAATTGAGGATTTTTGAATATCTTTGAGATCCTTTTAACATCAGAAGGTGGAAAATCAGTTTCACGTTTGCCATAAATGCAATCATTTTGACTTATCAAAAGATCAAATTCACGATCACGGAATTTACGGTTAAGATCGCGATGTTCTTTAGCGATCTGCGAAAGATTTAGTAGATATCATCAGTAAAAGGATTCAACATAATATAGTACATAAGTATTATCTTACCTTTTCAACTTTGTTCTTACAAATTTGAATAGCTTTTTTAAGATTAGAGGTAGCGGCACAAGAAATAGTATGATGCGAATCAATCAAACTTTTTCGTTCTTGTTTGAACCGATTATGTCTGTTTTTCTTAATCGAACTATTGTCTGCTGGGATCACGTGCTTTTTCTTTTCATTTTTTGTATAAATTACGGTGGGATCACGTGTTCCAGTACTTTTAGACATTACTGTTGTTCAGGTATGATTCGATGGTTTTGTGAAAAGTGAGGTGAAAATAGAAGGCTTCTTTACATGGCAAAGTGTTATTTATACATTTTTTGTCGCGAGATCCGAGAATTTTGAGAATTTTCGGAGTTATCGGAGTTCAGATTTAATTCCGACATGTACAACAGACTTAAAATAAAATTCTCACAAAAACAACTCACAACATCTAGCTTGTACTATCTTTCTATACTAGTTCCCAATTATATTATATCTAACGTTGATCAAATCACAAAGATTACTTGGCAGATGGAATTAAACGGAAAATTTATGGGTTTATATAGATTACCTATTTTGTAATTAATTAAATAAATAAAATAATTAAGTAATTAAAATTAAAAACATTAGATTTATAATAAATATATATAATTTTATAAATATAAATTTATCTATAATTTAATATTTAAAAGATTTATAATAAAATAATTAGTTAAAATTTTTGTTATCAAGAAATTTTATGATAAAATCTTTAATATATAAATTTTTATAGTTAGCTAATATAATTTTAATTAATTATTTAAGTATAATATCTATTTAAAAATCCATTTAGAAGTTAATGTTAAATCTAAATAACAATTACAATATTATCAAAATATTAATATTTAAAGAATGCTGATTTTTAATAGCATAAAAAAAAACTAAGTTATCTTAAGTAATTACTTACAGGGGGTATAAAAGTATTGGCCACTTTTGTAAAATGTTTCACAAAATAACTAACTTAATAATTCTTTATTTTTTTTTATTTTTATCAAACACATGTTAATATTTCGTTAGTCTTCCATTAGCCACAAGAACAGCTTGAACCTGACACAGCATTGACTTGATCAAATTACAGTAATATTCTACAGGTACCGCATCCCACTGTTCCAACTGCCTAACACTTGATGGCTGGAAATCTCATTGACAGATCTTGATCTCAATATATGACCATATATTTTCTATTGGGTTGATATTGGGGCTTTGGGCTGGCCAGGAAAGCATCTTAACATTTGAAGATGTGAGGAACGAATGTGCAACTCTTGCAATGTATACGGATGCATTGTCTTCTTAAAAAAAAACTTTTTTTTAACCTTTTTTGCATGAAACTTGACTGTAAGAATAGCAAAATTAGCCAAAAAGTCACAGTGTGTAATTCCAGTAATATGACCTTCTAAGGGGATCAAAGAACCCAAGCCAACCTAGGAGAAACATCCCCAGAACATGTGACCAAAGCTCTTTTAGACTGTGACTGCAATGCAGTCTTCATGAAACTCTTCAGAAGGTTCACATCACACTTGTCCAAAACCTGAAGTTCTAAATTATATGTAGGTACTCTCGTCTGATCAGACAACTCGTTTGAAATCTTCTACTATCCAATTTTCGTAAGTAAGGATCCACAAGTAATGTTTTTCTTTATTACTTTCAGAAATTAAAGAACTGAAACGAGAAATTTGGAAATGGAGATTTTCTTTGGCTAATTCATTTCGAATGATTTGTATAAAATGGATTTGTTTGTTTCGTTTATAAAATTTAAACGTATTTGAGAAAGGGTTTGACAACGGGTTTTTTTATTCCTAACCATCAAACTTTTGAGAGGTTTGCATTCAGTTTCGTTAAGAATTCGTGGTCGACCCAAACATTTCTTTGGAAGGCTTTTTAGCTCGTACAACTTCCAAACACGTTGAACAGAGGAACGAGAGCAATTTACGACTGCAGAAATCCTAGTATTTATGTGTCTTAATTTTTTAGCTATGATAATAGCTCTGTTTTGGTCCTCATTAAGTTCCTTTTCATGACATATCCTTGCAGTAAATTTTTTTTCACTAATAAAAAAGGTTTTTTTTCGTACGACCATATGACCAACTTTATGTTATACAATGGCGATTTCTTTATTTTGATCATTTACATAACAATCACGTGTAACTTAAAATAAAAAAAACTGCGGCTTAATTTGGAATGGGCGTGACAACACGCGCCTCACTTGTATCACGTTGGGTGGCCAATACTTTTTATACCCCCCTGTACATTATTTATAAAATAAATTATTTTACTGATTTAAAAGATTTTAATATTCAATTACAATTCGTAAAATATGGGGAACACAAAAAAATTAGTGTTGTTATTTATGTGATATTTATTTTACATTTCTATTTTACATAAATATTTCATACAACGATAACGTTAATTACAAATCTATATCCGGTAAACTAATTTTTTGAGTTTTATAATATTTATATAAATATTTCATATTTTGATAGGGTAGTAATTAACATATATATGTGTGCGACATAACTCATACTCTCATTTCAAATTACTAACTAATCCTTTTAACGCGAAACAAAAGGTAAATAGATTAATAATTAGTCTAAAATAAAGTAAATAAATAAAAATAAATCCGATTAATATGTATATATAGAAAGAAATCAAATAACCAAACCAAGCCAACTCTTTTTTTTTTTGTTTTTACATTATAAACAAGTTTCCGACTTATATGAATTAAAAATTAGTTTCAGGACATTTAACGTCAGGTATAGGAACAGAAATTTTTGGTTTGTAAATCCAATCAATGCCCCAGATAAATAATTCAACGTCAACTCTAAGTCTCAAAGGAGGAGCATTCGGTTCAGAATCAGGAATACAAGCGGCAACAAAATCCATTATAACAGGATCATTAACATCATCAGCTTTATAATTAACTGTGAGTGGAAATTCTAATGTATTAACAGACTTTGGTTGTAAAGTGTAATCAGGTTTGGAACCAGTAGCAATAGATTTATCGTTGTTAGCCGCTCTATCAAATACCTAAAGTTCGAAAAGAAAAAAATGTTTAATAAAAACAAAATTAATGATGATTCCCGACCCCCCCAAAAATATGGTTTAAAATAACCTCAACTTACCGCAACATCAATTTTATTGAATTTATATGGAACCCAATTTGCATAATTATCAATTTCAACAATTATATTAAAGCTCATATCAATGTAAGGAGGATTTGTACTGAGCGTTGGTTGTGTTACAGGTACAGCTTCTTTAACATCAACATTAGGTTTGCGAGGCCAAACAAAAAATGCAGTAATGCCCAAACCAATTAAGATCAATATAGTAAATAAGCAACAAATTGACCAAGAACAACATCCACTTTTTCGTTTTTTCTCAGGTCTAGCAAAGTCACTGGCAGTCAAAGATTGACGTGCATTTTTACCACCACCGGGGAAATCTCTATCAGTATATTCATTTTCATAATGGTTTGGGTATCCAGTAAGGGTATTATGACGGGTTGCTTCTTCATCATAATTTTGATCATCTTGACGATGATAATTATTGTATTGGGAAATAGTACCGTTATTCTGATTCTGTCCATGATAATTTTGATCTCCCGTACTACCCATATTGTATGTCTCCCTATCCACTAACGGAGTGGAAGTAAGTCTCGATTTACTTTCTCTATTTGTGTACGTAGCGTCCGTTGCATTTTTTGTTGCCGATTGATCATGATTGGAAAGTGATGAATTTATTGAAGCGGCATCATCAGCATTTCTGGTAGGATTAACACGAGGTGTCCCAACTGCGGTAACTAAACAACAAAAAAAAACCAACAAATTAATCGGATAATTCCCACGGTAAAATAGATTTTAGCAAGATACAGTACCTCCACCTAATGATCCTGTTGAATAATTTCCATTATCTATCTCCGTTAAATGTCTTTGATTTAATTCTGGTACTTTATGATTGGCTGGACTGGTCGAACTGGTTGGACTTGATGGGTTATTGTAATATTGGTTTTGATGATGATGATTATTATAAGCCATTTTGTTTTATTGAAAGAACTTTTAATAATACTTGATTTACTAAATAATTTAAACGATGGTTACACGACTTTAATATTTGTTAAAAAAGATAATATTTTTCATATTTAATTTCCCTCACCTCAAAAAATCGTTATGTTTCTAACAAATGAGATAATATATATTTTCTTTTTTACGAAGGAAAATGATAAAATTTTATTGGTAAAAAAAAAAAAAAAAAAATGATATATTTTCTTGTGGAAGAGAGAGAGAAAAAAGGATTATTTTTTTCCTACGTGGCTAAAGTGAATCGACTTGTATAAATATTCGAAATATCCGAGTACAAACCCTTGTTAATTTGTATTGTAACAAAAAGTCCAAGAATGTAAAAATTATAAAGGGTGAATAGGGGACAAGCAATATAAATAATAGCGGAATTATTTTTTAAAAATAGCCCAAATGCATCACTTTTATGTACTACAAGATGTTTTAGCCTGGTAAAGGTTTGGAAACATGCCAAGAATATAGTCATTTTTGTAATTTGTTACTATAATTAGATAAATTGCATTTATATAAAAGTCCTTAAATTGAATGATCAACTCACTATTTTTTGATGATAATCATACCAAGTAATTTGATATTACACAAAAGGATCGTAATGACCCGATTTGATGAATAGTAAAAAAAAAATGAAATATCACCACCAAGGTAATTTTTACAACGAATGATAAAGTTACTCCTTAACTTTATGTTTATATTAAACTTCGATTTTTTTTTTTTTTTAAAAAAAAAAGTTACGGGATATAGTCAAATTTGTATTCTATGAGCACTTAAATTAAAATATTGATGTACTAATTTTCAACTTTAATTGATTGAGAAATCATTATTTAGTCTTACTATTGAACCGTTTGAACACGTGAAATGACCCTGATTAGGGGACCCGTGCATTATGTTCACGTGATTAATTATAAAAAATTACGTAATTGCATTAGTGAAACTCATACAAAAGCCAACATTCAGCCGAAACCCCTTTTATTTATTTTGGGCAAATAGGCTTTTTAACCCGAAAATATATATTATACACGCAAATTTTATTAAAAGGGAAAGGATGTTCTTTCATTTTAACGTCAAACGACAAAATCTAAACAACGTTTTTCATCGTTTGATTGATACTAACCATTTGTCTCATGATCGGTCATGGGAAAATATATTTTCGGAACATGTATAACTTGGATTATATACGTGTATTGGACAAATTAGTAAAATTTGAGAGGTTACGCATTCATAAGTTACAAAATTAGTTTATGGTCATTGATAAAATAAGGATAAACCCATGCAGATCGATTTGGTAGAGTTCCACGAATTCCGCCAAAATTTCTTGTATAAACTTTTTGATTAAGTACGTTTTATTGTTGATTACCAGAAACATGCAAATGCCAATTAATAAACACCTGGATTTAACCTTTTATTTCGTAATTAAATAATTATGTACATATTTACACAATTTCATTCTCATTTATACAATTTAATCTAATTTATGATAAGCTTTGTTTGAAGTTACAAGAGGTTCAACATCGGTACCAGACCTTAATTGCTGCTTTATTTTTTTAATTACACGTGAAATTCCTATAAAAAAAAAAATTTAAATTTTTTGTCTTTTTTTTTTAAAAAAAAAAAAAAAAAACTTTGACTTACTTTGCTTTGAAACTTTCCCATCCCTTCGATGCAAGTCATCATTGGCATTAGTTATCACAGGAATATCTTTCATGTGTTTCCTGACATGGTTCAAAACAGAACTTTTTAATATGATCTTTGATCGCTTGGAAGGGGGGGCGACTAAGATTATATCGGGTTTGACGGATTTACAAATATTTACTAATGCTTCACGTACATCTCCTTTCGTAATAATCACATTGCTTGTAATCTATAAAAGAAAATCACGTTTTGTTTTAATTTGAACGACATTTGCATATAAATCCTTCCATCGCACGTTGACACAAAGCAACTTACATTACTTCGGGTTAATTCACAGGAAATAACCTTTAACATATTATTAGCACGTTCTTGCTCATTCTTAATGTAATTCTTATATTCATCGTCCAATGTATCAAAGTTAGAATTATTTGGATAATAACCCAGACCGAGCGTCCACATATCGGTTGTGGGGTAATATATTTTTGGCGTATTGATGACTGAAATTAAGTAAACGTGGTCCAAGTTGGGTCGAAGAATATTTGAAACTGCCCACTCATAAAGATGTTGAGAATTTGTTATTGAATTTGGATTGTAAGCTAAAAGAACTTTGCGACGATTATAATCAGCACCCAAGGGTTCCTTTTCTAACGACATGATTTGAAGGGAAGTTTATAAAAAAGATGCAATTGTATGAAACTAAAGATGAAGGAAAGATGAAGGAAAAATGTGAGAAAAAAAAAAGGATATTTATATCTATTTTCCGCACCCCTATAAATTAGGTTAGTACGTGAAAATTTTCTTCTACACGTGAAATTAGTTCGCAGGTTTGATTTTTATTAGAAAACAAGAGAATGAATATGCATAACACAAACAAAAAAACAAAACGTAATATGTCAACGACCTTAAAAGTGAATTAATTTATCTAGAAATATGAAAACAAAGAACTTTCGCGTATGTTGCATCTATTTTTAGCCGAAATCGGATTTTCAATTATTATCTATAATATATATAGAAATGCGTTTCCATACCCCGATAATTTTAGCAAACCTTGTGCGATTAATATATTTTCCCGTTAGGTAAGTGGTTGAATAAAAATAAAATTAAAATTATTTGCACAATGAAAAAAATTTTTACTATATTTTTTTACTATGAGCCCATGAACACTTGTAGATTTTTTTTATATGAAAACAGGTAATTTTGAATTCCTGCCGAATTTTTGCTGGTTTTTCCAATATATTTTCCGTTACAAAATTTGCGTTCATTCTTTTCGCGACATGTCCCCTCCATCTTTCGCGTTATTTCATAAATGAACGCTTTATCTTTCTTTGAATGGATTTTGAGACTCGGGTAATTCGGCGGACTTTGGCGGCGAGTATTTTTACCCTGTCACAAAACTTGAAACTATGAAATGATAAACGTTTTAAATTTCTAAATTTTTAAGAACCCGCTATTTGTAATTCGTTTTGTCATAAGTAAACGGTAAATCCATTAAAGGTTGGTATTACAATTTCATTGTAATGAACTAATAGTAAGAGATCATCGAAATCGGATTAGGTAATGTAGGTAAAGTTTTTCTTTTTTCGGTTATAGCATGAAATCATGCATTAATTAAAGTTTTTTTTTTCTCGTTTACTTCCTCCCATAAAATTCACATTTTTAAGAAACTTATTGTTAAAAAAAAATAAAATAAAATAAAATAAAAAAATGCATCTTTATCATCCATTGTCACATCATTATATCCTTGTTAAAGTGTTTGGATATTTAACAAATCAACGAGACATTTATAATTGTACACTAGTTAACACGCAATGGAATACTTCAGTGTCGCCATTCTTATATCGTGCACCAAAATTCACTAGTCGAGCAAAATTTTCGTCTTCATTAACAAAATATTTCCAAACCATAAAGAGTGCCAAAGATGAGCAGACGTTTCAACCATATCATGAAATGCTACGTGAATGGAATCTTAAATATGCTAAGGTAGCTTGTGATATAGCGGTATGTTGTCCAAATATTGAAAAACTTGGGTGTGTTGATGGAGGATTTCTTCTCGGTGATAATTTGAATAGAAAAAATTTATTAAAGGCTTGGACCAGATTGAAATCCATCACATTATATCATAATTGTGGAACAGACTTGATCCTTGAGGCCATTAGAATGAATTGCAGTCGTTTGGAAGAATTAATATTATGTAATTGTCCTGTAACTGATATTGGACTAATTGAAGTTTTCAAGACTATTAGAGGATTGAAATTATTGAGATTTAATCATTGTAATGAAATTTCAAATCAAAGTTTAATCATGATGTCGAAATATTGTAATTCGTTAGTTAGGTTGGATTTGATTAATTGTAATAGATTAAATGATAATGGAATACTAGCACTTGCAGATTCTTCTCATCTCGCGACTAATTTACGTTCGCTTTATCTTGAAGCTTTAAATATCGATCAAAATACTTTATTAATTCTAGCTAGAAATATTATGAATTTACGAGAATTATATTTGAGAACCTTAGTATCCTTCGGTGATGAAGTCATTACTGCTTTTAATTGTTTGGAACAATTAACGTTACACTGTCCTAGAATTAATGGTTGGAATATCAATGAAGCCATAAGAATAAGGGAATTGTCCCTGTTTATGACAAATATTAAATTGCAAGAATTGAACGCTATTTGCAAAACTTGTCACCACCTAGAAAAGTTTACTTTGGATGTTAAACAAATCCTCGCATTTTCTTTTTCCATGAATAAGGTAAGTTTTAACCAAAAGTTTTTGGAGGATTTTAAAATTGTTCTTGCTAATATTTTTTTTTTTTTTTTTTTTTTTTTTTAGGATATTATAAAACTACTTTCACAACTTAAACATCTTAGATCGTTAGCTTTATTTTGTGGTATAATTTTTACGAATTCCGAAATTTATGAATTAAAAACGAATTGCATCAAGTTGACACAAATCAATTGTTAATTATCTTTGATAGTACTAAAGTTGAATTGTTGTTTAATTAACAATAAAAGTTGTTACTTTTACTCAGAACTGGTCTTAAACCTTATAACATCGCTAACATCGTTTCATTGACTAAATTCGCGAAACGTAATTTTAGATCATATATCTCCGAGTATAATAATGCTCATGTATCACATGATCCTGTGACTTATTGTCTGGAAATGGAAACATGACCTAATCCGTTACGGAGGTTGGAGGTACAAATTGTTCATTCCTTCATTATTATTTGTTGCACATTGAGTTTCTCACGCATCGTGAGTTGACAGCTAGTAAAATGCATTTACTGAATTATACAATCAATTACCCCGAATTGATTAATTCATTATTTTTTACCATAATGGAAATTAAAGGAGTATCATTTAACTTATTGATGCAATGTAATTATTAAAAAATTTCCATATAAATTGATCCTTAAAAACTTTTCCCTGAACTTAGGTCTATAAAAAAAAAAATGTTTCAAATTCATTTATCTCAATCTATAGAATCGTTTGAAGTGACATGTGAAGAACTTGATACGTTATTGCTTTCTCGTTACCCATCATCGTCAACCGATGATCTCCCATCCACTTCCTCTTCCTCTTCCTCTCCCGCTTCTTTATCCTCGTCTCCAAATTCTTCATCCTTTCGTGCGTACAATTCACCAAAAATTTCGACAAGGGTAATAGATTTTTATAAAGAACAACACGAAAAGCAAACCGTATCCAGTGTAATTGAAAAACGAACAAAGTTTTCACCGCTTAACAATGCAAAATTGTGCGCTTGGGAAGCTTTGGAATTATTAAATACTTTGATTGACGACTCTGATCCTGATACGCAACTTTCCCAAATCGAACATTGTTTACAGACCGCCGAATCCCTAAGAAAGGATGGTCAACCTAGATGGTTAATTTTAACTGGTAAAGTTTCCCTGATGTTCGTGTCACCGTGAAACAATGTCACGTGATTAATATTTCTTTTTGATTTTAGGATTGATACACGATCTAGGTAAACTCTTGTTTTTCTATGGAGCCGAAGGACAATGGGATGTGGTTGGAGGTAATTTCATTGTTCCAAACATTTTTCCATGAAAAAAAAAATAGACAGTCTAACTTTATGTCATATGCCTTGCGTTCATAGACACATTTCCTGTTGGATGCAGATTCTCTCCATCGATAATTTTTCCAGAGTTCTTCAAGAATAATCCTGATTATACCAATCCGAAATATAACACATTATACGGGATATACGAACCAAATTGTGGCTTAGATAATGTGCTTATGTCTTATGGTCACGACGAATACATGTATCAAGTTGTAAAAGTAAGAATTTTAAATTCAGCGTTTTTTTTTTCGTTCATGGACTAAATAAATAAATGACCTCACGCGAATTAAAAAAAAAATAGAATTATTTACCAGCCGAAGCCAGTTATATAATTAGGTATCACTCATTTTACGCACAACATCGTGAAAATGCTTATACCCATTTGATGAATGAAACCGATCATGAAATGATGAAATGGGTTAAAATCTTTAACCCTTTTGACTTGTACTCGAAAAGTGATCAACCCCCTAACATTCATGAATTAAAACCTTACTACCTTGAATTGATTCGTGAATATTTCCCTGAAAAAATTTGTTGGTAAAATGATAATTGGGAAAAATAAAATAGAATATTTAATAAATCAAATCCGATTTAATATGTATTACATTTTAAGTTTTTTTTTTTTTTTTTTAATGATACCGTATTTATTTATTGAGTCTTCCGATTCTTCTTCAATCAATAAAATATGATAGGTTTGTCATCATTATTTATCAATTTATTCCAAGATATAACTAATTTGATAATGTTCACTTGTAGAAATTTCGTAATTTTCGGCAGTCATAATTTTTGTGAATCATTTTTGAAAGAAATTTCTTCATATATCTAACTAGATTCTCTTCTAGGCTCAATATTGACATAACGCGAATAGGTGACAAAACATTTTTTTTTTAAGTTACACCGTTTAGACAATTTCGAACATTCTGGAATAAACCACATTTTTCGTATTACTTGAGCTTACTAATTATTAATACGGTTATGTAAAGTTTAAAGTTTAAAATCAAATATAGTTTTAAGCAACACAGTACTACTGTCAACCTCTCATTCTCTCATTCCCTAACGACATTGACGAACTGAACGACCTTGATACTAATGATAAAAAGTCATATATCTCAGAACCTATATTAAGCATAAATATTCCACTTAAAGAATATATTAATCAAAAGAAGGAACAATTGGCGGAAATATCTCAACGTATAGTCAAAGATCTAGAGAATAATGTAATGCACTTGTTAATTCCTTTTTTTTTCGGATTTGAAGTTGTAAACTAAAATGAATGTTAAATTTCCTAGATAGGACAACTAAAAGACTTACGTGAAATTGCTACTGATAAGAACTTAACTGTAAAAAAGTTGGCAATATTATCTCAGTTTGTGGTATAAAGATATAATACCCGGGGTATCGGATACGACAATTGACTGACAAAGAAAGACCGGAACAGGTGGAACAAAGACCGCATTTTTAACGATCCTCAAAGTGCAAATAAAAATCAAGGAGATATATGACGTCTCAACTGATATACAAGGAATCTTCAGAAACAATCAGATACAACCTGCGCAAAAGGCCAAGTTCTTCTATGTCAGAGTCAGTTCAGAGAAACGAAGGGGATTTATTGCCCTTCTAGAACGAATACACGCAGGAGGAATCGAAGAAGTGGTGGTTACCTGAAGGGTATGAGTTTAATTATTTATTTGCTTTGATTATTGATTTTTTATTTTACTAACTTTTTTATTAGGACCGATTGTGCCATTTCGGATTCGAACTTGTGGAATGGATCTTTGAAAAGAATGGGACTCAGCTCATGGTACTCAGTACGGATATCAGTGCCAAAAGTAGTGAAGCTGGAGAACTTGCAATCGTCACAGTGTTTGTGGCGCGACATAATGGACTACGTTCTACCGCAAATTGTAGAAAAAGAAAAGATGTCACCCAAGAAGAAAAAAATGAAGAAACTTCCAGCAGGCAAAGTACAATGGATTTGCATTTATCCCAACCAGCAGGAGCGGCTAAAACTCAGAAGATGGATGGGAACAGCACGATGGACATACAATCAGTGTCTTATCGCGATTGAAAAAGAAGGTATCAAACGAGAAAAGAAGGATCTATGTGCACTATGTTTAAACGCTAAAAACTTCAATGATATCAAACTCAAATGGATTCTCGAAACTCCTTATGACATTCGTGATGAAGCAATGAATGACTTGCTTAAAGGATTTTCTTCCAATTTTGCTGCTAATCATAAAAATTTCAAGATGAAGTTCCGTTCCAAAAAGGATTCTCAACAGTCTATCGCAATCTTATCAAAGCATTGGGGTAAATCTCGTGGTGAATATTCATTCCTTCCTAAAATCAAGTCATCAGAATCTCTTCCAAAAAAACTTGAATATGATAGCCGTCTTGTTATGAATCGGCTTGGTGAATATTATCTTTGTATACCTAGACCACTTGAAATGCGAGCTGAAAACCAAGGTCCTATATTTCAAAAGGTTTTTATCTATTTTTATTATTTATATTTATATCTAAATTAAAATATCAATTAATCATATATTTAATAATTTAATAGGAAGGATCAGGTGTGATTTCTCTGCATCCAGGCGTGCGTATATTTATGACAGGCTATGATCCAAGTGGAATGGCTATTGAATGGGGCAAAAACGATGTTGGCCGAGTTTACAGATTAAGTCATGCATATGACAAACTCCAAAGCAAGCGTAACCAAATTCATGGAAAAAAAAATAAGCGAAAGCATAATAGGTAAAATTTATTAATCAATTAATTATAATATTTTTTATAATTTAATATATTTACTACTTTTAATTGTAGATTACGTCGTGTTATGTTACGAATTTACAAGAAAATCCGCTGTCTTGTGAATGATTGTCATTATAAGCTGGCTAAATGGCTTTGTGAAAACTATCGTATAATACTACTACCTGAATTTCACACCCAAGAAATGGTCCAACGCGAACAACAACGTATTGGTTTCAAGACTGCTCGAGTCATGTGTACATGGTCACATTATTGCTTCCGACAGCATTTGGTTCATAAATCACGTGAATATCTATGGTGTCAAATTGTAATTTGTACAGAAGAATACACAAGCAAAACTTGCGGATTCTGTGGCTATATTCATAAAAAATTAGGTGGATCTAAGGAATTTTGCTATCCCTGATGTAAAATAAATCTTAATAGAGACATAAATGGTGCTTATAATATTCTCTTAAAATATCTTATCCTTACAAAAAAGGAAAAGGAGTCAGCTTAGGCTGACGTGGAAGCCTATTCCCTTACAAGACTTGTTATTGCCAATTTAAACTTTGCTTAATGTGGGTTTTGTTAGTAATGATAGGTTTTAATGTAGGCGTTAATACGTTATCATAAATCATTGAATTTTCCAATATGGCTAATTGAGTTAAAGGAATTCTTAAATTGTCAAAAAAAAACTCAAAATCTTTAATGGTCATCATAAAATCTATGCTAAGTTATCGGTATGGATTTTGCAAACTGCATGATCAAAGAGGTGGTAAGTTTTAGCACAGCATTATGAATTATGGTTAACGTAAAGTGCTCCAATCTTGTAAAAGAATTCGAAGTTCTCCTTGATAAATCTTTAGTGATACCTTCAAGTATCTCTCTCGTTACGTGTCCTAACCAAAGCATTTCAGATTTGGATTACAAATTCTCAGAAACAATCCGATTGCGAAACATAACTTGAACAATAACCATCACAGTAAAGGTTCCTGATGCTTTCAATTCTAAATCTGGGATACTTTAAATTAAATAATGAATCATTGTCGATTCTACCCATTTTCCAAAATTGTAAGGTTAATTTTGTAAAATAATTAATAATTGTTGACAATCCGACCCTATAAGAAATTTACATACATTAATTATACGTTTTATATACGTTTATAATACGTTTTTATGAATTACGTATTATAATTCCATATATTTTATAAGGAATTATTTTTAGTGAATTTTTAATTTAATAAATATATACG